AAAAAAAAACCTGAAAATAACAAGTGTCAGCAAGGACATGGAGAAACTGGAAGCTTCATGAATTGCTGCTGGGAATGTGAAAAGATAAAGCCACTGTGGAAAACAGTATGGAGGTTCCTCAAAAAGTTAAACATAGAATTACCATATGATCCAGCAATTCCACTCCTAGGTAGACAACCAGAAGAACTAAAAGCTTGGACTCAAACAGGTATTTGTACACCCATGTTCACAGTAACATAATTCACAAGATAGCCAAAAGGTGGAGACAACCCAAATGCCCACTGGTGGAGAAATGGATCAACAAAATGTGCTATATACATACAATGGAATATGATTCGGCCTCAAAAAGGAAGGAAATTCTGATACATGCTACAACACGGATGAATTTTGAAAGCATTATGCCAAGTGAAATGAGCCAGACACAAAGGATAAGTTGTTCCACTTATATGAGGTACCTAGACTAGACAAATTCACAGAGACAGAAAGAAGAATAGAGGTTACCGGGGACTAGGGGCAAGAGGGTAATGTTATTGTTTAATGGGCACAGAGTTTCAGTTTGGGATGATGAAAAAGTTCTGGAAATGGATAGTAGCGGTGATAGTTGCACAACATTGTGATTGTACTTAATAATGGAATTATACACTTTCAGTGATTTGAACGGTAAATTTCATGCTATGTATATTTTATCCCAATTTTTAAAAATTGTACCTAGAATATATTAAGAGCTTATATAAATTTCTAAAATAAACTTCTGCGGGCACAGTGGCTCACACCTATAATCCCAGCACTCTGGGAGGCTAAGGTGGGAGGAATGCTTGAGGTCAGAGGTTCAAGACCAGCCTGAGCAAGAGCAAGACCCCATCTCTACTAAAAATAGAAAAATTAGCTGGCCACCTATAATCCCAGCTACTCGGGAGGTTGAGGCAGGAGGATCGCTTGAGTCCAGGAGTTTGAGGTTGCAGGGAGCTATGATTACACCATGGGACTCACCCGGGCAACAGAGCGAGACTCTGTCTCAAAAAAAAAAGAAAAAGTAATACATCCCATAAGGCTATAGCTGCTAGAGAGAGTGACTGCTCTTATGGATCTGGTCAAAGTCTATTGAAAACCTTCTGAAAGCAATTACCATTATAGATGCCACTAAGGACATTTGTGATTCATGGGTGGAGGTCAGCATGTCAACATGAACAGGAGTTTGGGAGAAGTCGATTATGACCCTCATGGATCACTTTGAGGGGTTCAAAACTTGAGTGGAGGATGTCACTGCAGAAGTGGTGGAAACAACAAGAGAGCTAGAACTGGAAATGGAGCCTGAAGATGTGACTGAATTACTTCGATTTCATGATAAAACTTGAAGAGTTGAATAGTTTGCTCATCTTATGGATGAGCAAAAAAAAGTAGCTTTTTGACATAGAATCTACTTCTGGTGAAGACACCGTAAGCATTGTTGAAATGACAATAAAGGATTTAGAATATTGCATAAACTTAGTTGATGAAGCAGCAGCAGGATTTGAGAGGATTAATTCCACTTCTGAGAGTTGTTCTAAAATGCTATTAAACAGCACCACACGCCACAGAGAAATCTTTTGTGAAAGGAAGAGTCGACTGATGCGGCCAACTTCACTGTCATCTTATTTTAAGAAATTGCCATGGCCGCCCCAACCTTCAGTAACCACCACCCTGGTGGGTCAGCAGCCGCCATCACAGAGGCAAGACCCTCCACCAGCAAAAAGAGTAGGACTAACTGAAGGCTCAGATGGTCGCTAGCATGTTTTTAGCAATCAAGTATTTTTTAATTAAGGTATGTACAGTGTTTTTTTAGACAAAATGCTATTGCACTCTCAAAAGACTACAGTGTAGTATAAACATAACTTTTGTATGTGCAAGGAAACCAAAAAATCCATGTGACTTGCTTTATTGTGATATTTTCATTTTATTGCAGTGGTCTGGCACTGAACCCACAATATCTCCGAGGTATGCCTGTAATTTAACCCTTATAACAATTTATGAGATACATATACTCTTGCCCTAATTTTATAAATGAGAAAGCGAAGGCCCAGCGAGTCACTGGGCCTTACACACATACTACACACCAGCAGTCAGGGCCTGACCACAGCCAGCCAGCGCGACTCCCGACTGACGTGCATGGAAATTACATTTAGAGGAGGAGTAAGAAGATGTCATTTTTTTTTTTTTTTTTGGTAAAGTTTTCAATACAAAATTAGAAAGTAAATCATTCAACACAAGTCTCAATGATGTGCTATGCCATTAGGCTATTTCTCGATTCCATCCCTTCAAAAACTTAGAAATGTAATATTTATACAGACAGGCTGCCATTCACTCTCATTTTATAAAAATGGATACTTTACGGTTGAGAAAACACACACAAAAAAACCACCTGGAACTCGGCTCCGGTTTTGCCCCAGATTTCTTTTTCATGCATTAAGTGCAACACGCAGCCAAAAAAGCTTGCTAAATACATCTTGTGTGTCTGTGAAAACTCTTCCAGGGCTCACCACCGCCACCGCCCTGGAACCGCTCCTCACGGTTCTCACAGCAGCACGTGGAGGGATGAAGATGTCCTCATTCACACCCGCAAGCCCCTTCTGGGCCTGAGCCGCCACAGACAGAAGCCTCTGCCTGCTCCCGGCAGTAAAAATGGCGTCTTTCTGTACCCTTTGCATGGACATTCTAGAGCCTCTACAGTCCAGGCTGCCTGTGGGGTACAGGTGAACCGTCATCACGGCAGAAAGGGGAGAGACGGCCTTAGAGACGGCCAAGGCCTTAGTGTTTTAGTGGGCACAAATCCCTCAAATACAACGACGGCCCTCCCCAGATGGGTTTTAAGAAGAGTTTGGGCGTTCAGACACACCACCATAAAACACTTCCAAGGCAGTCTGGGGTCAGAGACCCCTGGCTTCCTGAAGACCCGGGTGGCACCTGCCTCATCTGCTAGAGTAGAATGTTCCTGGAGATACGGATAATAAGCAAAGGTAACTCAAAACAAAGATGGGGAAATACACATCTGTTTAAATGGTCAAGGAGAGTGACTCAAAGACCATCACTACACAAAGTCAATTTGCCCAGAGTTTTTGAAGACTAGCAGAAATGGCTGAGGAAAACCCATACACCCCTGGAAGAACAAAGTGGATGGTAGCCTGGTCACGGCATCCGGGAAATAACTAGTTCCAAAAGCCAGTTCCCCTCCCTACTGGTAAATGCTGGCCCTCCTCCATGAGCGACTATTGTTCAAAGAGAAGCGTGTTTCCCGGTGCTCACAGAGCTGCACATGGTTCTCCATATCATAGCTCATGTCCACCACCTCATCGTCTCCTTCAGACACACGGGAAGGCCAGGCCAAGCTACCACTGGATGTTCTAGTACATGGACATGGAGGTTGGCACAGGAGCACCAAGCAGCTGCTAGGACTCCTCACCTGCAGCTCCTCCTTGTCCCCAAGGCCCAGGGCAAGCTCATTAGTTAATTCAATTCCTTCAAGCAGGTCCCAAACTCCAGGCAGGAAGTTGGGACACCGTGCTCACAGTAAGCCTTGCAGGACAGAGGCTGCTCCACTCCGTGGTCCATTGCAAACAACACGGTAACCAAGCAACATCAGCTACCAGAGGAACTCTGAAGTCCCCATATGGTGCTGCCAGAGAACTGAAAGTTATGATGAAGTAACCCAAATAGATTTCTTTCACTCAATAAGTCTGTCACACAGCAGTCAGTTAACAAGGCCCTGACGATGCTATTTGAAGAACTACTGTTCCAGGTCTCTTGTCCCTCGCACCACACCTCTGCCATCACAAGCATCTACAAAACCATCTCAGTGTCACTCACCAATTCAAACACCTGCATTCCTCTCCCTACAGTTTATCAAAGCAAACGTCCATGTCTCTTCCGAACTGCCCCAAATTAAGACAAATTATCAAATGACCAGGAGTCACTAAAGATTTGACAGTCTTTGAGAAGTTCAGAAAAATGAATAGGGTCTTTTTTTCCTTTTCATTTCTGACACTGTCCCGATGAGCCAGTGAGAGAGCCGGACAAAAAACGATTTATTTTGGCCGGGCGCGGTGGCTCACGCCTGTAATCCTAGCACTCTGGGAGGCCGAGGCCAGAGGATTGTTTGAGCTCAGGAGTTCGAAACCAGCCTGAGCAAGAGCGAGACCCCATCTCTTCTAAAAATAGAAAGAAATTAATCGGACAACTAAAAATATATAGAAAAAATTAGCCGGGCATGGTGGCGCATGCCTGTAATCCCAGCTACTCGGGAGGCTGAGGCAGGAGGATCACTTGAGCCTAGGAGTTTGAGGTTGCTGTGAGCTAGGCTGATGCCACGGCACTCACCCTAGCCCGGGCAAAAGAGTGAGACTCTGTCTCAAAAAAAAATAAATAAAAATAAAATGATTTGTTTTAAAATAGGTCCTTCCCATACCTCTCACAAGGAAGCAGAGTCAAGTGCAGAGTTGTTCTGTGAGGCTGTGACAGGACTAACTCTCTCCTCGTAAACGGGACCCTCACTGGCACAGCCATGGCACGTTCCCCAGTGGTAATTTGGCTTTGTCCCCTGGTCAGCATCCCAACCCGTTCAGCCATGCTGCCACCTTCCCCAAGTCAGCTCTTAGCAACAATACTTAGCCCTCTTCTCCCCTAGTCTGATGACTTCATTAAGTTAAGGAAATAAAAAATGCGTCCTGTATAAATAAGATATCCTCCCCGACATGAAATCCAATGTTGATAAGACATGGAGAGAAAAACAACACTTTCTAATTTAACTCTGACCAAGAGTGCAATAATGTGGAGCTTGACCTTGGCTCTACAGAATAAGCCAGACATAGAAGAAGATGGGTCAATGGCAAGACCAATGGATTCAAATCCACTTTAGTCTTGGAGCTTTCTCTCTTATTCTGGCAGGGTAGACAGAGCCCCGAGTCCACATTAGAACAGGGTAGCACCCACTGCCTCCGTGCACGCTGGCATGCTGCGCCACCACTCACCTGTGCCATTGGCCAAGCCACTGTGGCTTGAGTTCTTGCTGGGCTGGCGGTGACGGTTCCTGGTGCCGGGGCTTTGCTCACCAGTTGCTGTGGTTGTTCTGGCTGAACCACCTGAATGTCTGTGCGTCCTGGGGGTTCAAAGTAGAAAGCAGACAGACATAAGTTGCTGTGAAAAAGAAAGACGCGTTTCCTACCAAAGTCATCGTATTCCCTCTCTCACTATTTATTGGAAACAAGGCCTTTAATAGCCCCTCTCGTTTTTGACTCTATAGAAGCTGGCTCCAAGCAGAGAGACCCAGGGAAGCTTCCTTCCCGGTGAAAGCCCAGAAGACAACTTTGTGCAAACTTTTCCACTTGAAGTAAACAAATCCGGAGTGAATTGCCCCTACATCTGAAACAACTGGCAAAATATCCTGTGACCATCACATTATTTTTATTGGGCTCAAATGTTAGAAATAAACAAGAATCACTGGACAGGCAGCAGATGAAATACTTCTCCCGTTAAGCAAGAAGAGCCCAAAACGCATCCAAATCAATTTTCTCTATAGCTACAAAGATGACCCCTTGGGAACAGAAGTCAAGGCACATTAAACAAGTTTAGTCCATGCATATATTGACGTGTTTTAACTAGAAAAGATGACTCGACAGTCCACCCAAGTAAATGAGAACAGTGCAGAAATGGATATAAATTACGAAGAAAACAGTAGGATCGAGCAGCAGAAGAACCTATCTGACATCTTCAGAGAACACAAGGCAACTTGTGTTCTCAAGTTCCTTGTGTAGCTTGACTTCGTTCACTCAGTGCAAATAGCTAAGCCTCCCTGCCCTTCAGTTCAGCTGTTTCTGTTTCACCAAAGGAGCTTATTCTACTACTTAGTAATTACATACTACTTTGCAACAGTGAAATGGTTTAAATACCAACCACTCCGTGAAGAAAAGACTGACTCTCCCCAGGCAAAGAAACAGAGGCCCAGGGACAATTTACACCACATGACACAGAGCAGTAAGGTTACTCTCAACAATAAGAGTAATAATAACAACCATGGAGGTATGCAATATTCATTGAGCTGTAACATTATGTTCCAGGCACCGTGTGTACTATGCACTTTACATATATTTTCTCATTTAACATGGGAACCCTAAAGGTACCTTACTACTATTATCCCCATTTTACAGGTAAGAAAACAGACACAGAGAAGTTCTATAGGAAATAAGCAGGAACAAAGATTCAAATCTAGGCAGTTTAATGTCAAGAGCCCATGCACTCTGGCTGGAGGATGGGGTAGGAAGCCTGGACTTCAGCTGAATTCCTCTTGGGCTATTCTTTCACCAGTCACTTGGCCAATGGCGAGATTAAGACCTATAACAGAAAGTTCCCGACGGCAGGACCTACACCCACCAGAACATCCACACTGGTGGGAGTCTCTAGCCCAGTGTGTTGGCACAAGCCTGCCACAAAATCAACAGGAGGTTTCTAGAAAGAAAAGGATTTTTCTGACAAGACGGACATAAACTAAAATGTTAACGGTGATTATCTTTGGATGTTCGGAACATGGATGCTCTTTTGTGCTCTTCTAGATTTTTCTTGTGTCCTTCCTTGTGTATTTTTGAGTGAGGAAAAAAAAAACACAAATTTTTTTAAAGGAAAAAAAAAGCTTTTCTTGAGCCAGAAAGAAAAAAAAAAGAAAGAAAGAAAGAAAAAAAGGAGAAAGCTAGCAAACTCTGGAGTCCTTCATCCCTAAAGACTGCGTGGCAGTTAAAAATGGAGCGAGGGTACGACTGAGCTGTGGAAATAAAGATTCAATTTGGACTCTCTTTTTCCATCTTATTTTTCCCTGAGCTAATTTCATAAATCAAAAGCTGTCAACCACACCTCGGTCAAAGCAAAATATTTCAAAGTCCCCACTTCATGGGAAGAAATGTTAGTATTAAGCATTTTACCACAACTCCTCATCGAAAGCAGAAAGAGCACAAACGAGTTCCAAAGAGACAGGCGGTCTTTAGCAAACCGGTGGCTGTGTGTATGTGCGTGTATGTGGTGAGGGCAGAGAGCTTGAGAGAGAGAAAATTGGTTAATAGAAGGTTTATTTCAGCCAAGAATCCCCTTTGGAGGACAAAAAGCCGCTCTGATTTGGGACTCACAGCCCCCAGGAGAGGGCTGTACCCCTCACGGAGCAGCAGGCCTCGCGGGCAGCACAGAAAATGCAACGTCAACGCCGCCAGGCACATGGGCCATGACAAGTCCATGATTACTTCCAGCCCCCGGGTTCCTTGTCCCTCTTCAGAGCAGCTGGGCATGACAACAGGGTGGGTCCCCCTTACTCTCCTGGCCCCTCCCTCCCTTCCCCGAAAGACCATGTGGCCAGAGTTGAGAGAGAGACTTTCAGAAATGTTTAACCACTAATGATAGCAGCTGACCCTGAATGACAGGCTGGAGCAGGGCTGGGATTAGCCCGTAAACCAGGGGCAGCTGGGACCACTTTGCATGAATTGCCGCCTCCCTGCCTGTGGCCAACTCGCGCCCCACACGCACATACCACACATACCCCAGACTCTCCCCTTGCCCTAAATCTGGAGTTCCAAGTTCTTTGCTCTTGTATTACCTTGAAAATAAGACACTCAGAAGGAAGAGAAGGCCTCAACATTTGAGGGAAATTTCCTCAGCTGTTTCCTCTCTTGGAGAACTCACTCAACCCTTAAAAGATGGGATCCGGTAGCGATTAAAAGCAGGCCCAGAGGCTGAAACCACACATCAGTGGCCAAAATAGCACCAGCACTAACGCGGGCTGATGGGGTGAGTTGAGCTAGACTCCACCACAGACAGCCCGGCTCAGCTCTGTCCATGACTTCAACCGTGGCCTGATCCCATTGGGGGGCACAGTCTGGGGGCCAGGGAGAGTTTTGCAGACCCCGGGGCAGTCAGAAGGGGTCTGAACGGCCGTGCCGGTTGGGCCAAACTCCACACATGGTTTCAAGTCACCTCACTACCGAAATTCAGCTCTCCTTACAGCCTGCCCTTCTCAGAAAGCCAACATGTCCTTCGCCAAGTCCCTCCCTCAGGAACTGAGGCATCGCTAAGGAAAGCCACTCAAGGCCAGGGACCATGGTCCTCAGAGTGGTTCTGATGCAGATGAGGTCCCCAGGAGAGGGCTCCTGGCTGTCCCTTGGCATTTAAGCTTTGACATTCACAGCACTGGCCTTTGTTCTAAGCTGTACCCTGACAGCCAGAGACTTGGGTGCCTTGGGATATCTTGCCTCGCCTTTCATGCAAGCCACTGAATTGTATTCAAGCATTATTTTCTGAGTGCCAGGCCCTGTTCTAAGGGCAACAAAACAGAGTCCCTGACCTCAAGGAGCACACACCTTAGTGGAAATGCAGTGATTTCTAATTCTGCTCAGTTACAAATTTCCATCACACTACACAATGCTCGCATGTGGGAGCCACTCAGCTAGTGCATGAGCCTAATTGACTACGTGGCAGTGTCCCCTCAGCACAGCCTGCTGACCATTATCACATAAGCACCGGTTCCATGAGGAGTAATTAAACAAAAAATAATTTTGTTTCTTTGGTTAAATAAAGGAAGCCTTGGCCGGGTGCAGGGGCTCATGCCTGTAATTCTAGCACTTTGGGAGGCCGAGGTGAGAGGATCACTTGAGGCCAGGAGTTCAAGACCAGCCTGAGCAACATAGTGAGACCCCCATCTCTAAAAAAATTTTTTTTAAATTAGCTAGGCATGGTTTCTTGTGCCTGTAGTCCCAGCTACTCGAGAAAAGCTGAGGCAGGAGGATCACTGAAGCCCAGGAGTTTGGGTTGCAGTGAGCTACGATTACATCACTTCACTCTAGCCTAGGTGACAGAGCAAGACCCTGTCTAAAAAAGAAAAAAAGGAACTCTTGTTTTACAACAATATGGATCTACTTAATACTACTAAACCGTGCACTCAAAAATAGTTAAGATGGTAAATTTTGTTATGTGCTTTTAACCACAATTAAAATTTAAAAAAAGGAAAGAAAAGGAAGCCAAGCCTAGCGCTGGTAACGTAAGTGAAAACAAAGTTAAGGTTCCAAAAAAGTAATGGCTCTCAAGACGGAAAATAAAATTTTTTGCTAAATTAACAAGTGGAATTCAAAATGTGGTGGAGGCTCAGAATTTGAGATTGATAAGTCTATCATATACTTTATGTAAAAACTGATTATTTATTTATTTATTTTTGAGACAGAGTCACTCTGGCTAGAGTGCAGTGACATCATCATAGCTCACTGCAATTTCCAACTCCTGGGCTCAAGCAATCCTCTTGTCTCAGCCTCCCAAGTAGCTAGGACTATAGGCATGTGCCTCAATACCCAACTAATTTTTCTATTTTTAGTAGAGACAGGGTCTTGCTCTTGCTGGTCTTGAATTCCTGACCTCAAACAATCCTTCCGCCTCAGCCTCCCAGAGTGCTAGGATTACAGGCTTGAGCCACTGTGCCTGGCCTAAAAGTGATTTTAAAAAGCAGTTTATTCCTACAACTTGACAACAGCAACAAACAAACAAACAAACAAAAAAAAAACACCTGATTTAAAAATGGACAAAGGACTTGAATAGATATTTCTCCAAAGATGATACATGACTGGCCAACAAGCACATGAAAAGACACTTAGCATCACTACTCATGAGGGAAATGAAAATCAAAACTACAATGAAATATCCTCTCACATCCATTAGGATGGCGACTATCAAAGGAACAGAAAATAACAAGTGTTGGCGAGGATGTGGAGAAATTGGAACCCTTGTGTGCTGTTGGTGGGAATGTAAAATGGTGCAGCTGCTAAGGAAAACAGTATGGTGGTTCCTCAAAAAATCAAAAATAGAATCACCCTGTGATCTAGTAATTCCACCTCTGGGTACGTACCCAAATGAATTTAAAAAGCAGGGTCTCACAGAGATATTTGCACACCCATATTCACAGCTGCAATGTTCCCAATAGCCAAGAGGTGGAAGCAACCCACCATCTAGAGATCAGTGGATAAAGAAAATGTGGTATTTACACACAACAGAATATTATCGAACCTTAAAAAGGAAGGAAATTTTGACACATGCTACAACATGGATAAACCTTGAGGACATTATGCTAAGTGAAATAAG